CATCTTTCCTTTTCATATTTAGAGTTGCAATGAACGTAAATATGCATTTATCTTTTCATTTTTTTTGTTTTTAAAGTCAATGCCAAGAATTAGAATAACTGAGTCTAATTATGTAGCTCTATTCTTAGATTTTAAAAAAGTCTCCACGCGATTTCTATACTATAGAGGTTGAACCAGATGACTTCCCCACTAACTGTGAGAGTTCCCTTTTTACCATATCCCTGCCAATACTGGTTGTATACAGTCCTTTTTTGATAAATGCCCTTCTCACAGTACGAAATGATATCATGGGCATTCTTATTTGTATTTCACTGATAAGTGACATTGAACCCTTTTTCATATGCCTATGTCTACTAGCTGTACATATTTTCTTCAAGTACATGTCCGTTTAAATTCCTCTCCACATCTTTTAATAAGGTTATCCCCTCTTCCCTGCCCCCCAGTTTTGTGAATTATTTTTGTATATCCCCAGTATCTTTATCTGCTGCCTTGTATGTAAATATTGTCTTTCATGTGGTAGGATGTCTTTTGTCTAAGTTACTTATGCCATGTGAAATCTTTTTGTTATCTTTGCCAAATAATCAAATCATTGAAGATACAGTCCATAACCTGGATAGTTTTTCCTATATTTTCTTCAGTGTGTTTTATGGATTATGATTTAATTTTGAGGTCTTTAAATTTATCTTGTGTGTTAGATACTAATCAAGTTTCATATATTTTGGCTTTATAGTATTACCACACAATTTGCTATAATAGCTATAAATTAAAGTTAGGAAATACAATACTCCCCATTTTTTTCTCAGAATATCTTGTTATTGAAGGAATTTTATAATTATACATAAATTTTACTAGTATTTTCTCTAATTTTGAAGAATGTTTGAATTTTGATGGGAGTTGCATTGAATCTGTTCATAATAGAGCAACGATGATTGCAAATTATGGGGGGATCGGCGCCCCTTCTGGCACAGTCCTTTGCCTCTGAGGTAATGTCTTCAAAGCTCTTTTACCACAAAGAGGGTCCCCGGATGTGTGATAAACAGGGCAGCAATACTGAGATGTCTGGGGAGCAATGACAGTGGGGGATCCAACAGCCTAAAATTTAAAAAAAAAAACACTTTCAAATGTTTGCTTCTTTCATTTGAAAATGAAAAGTGGAGACCGTGAACAAGTGGCCTATATATTTTTAGTGATTCAGGGTGTTATAAGTAAGTAAGTAAGTAAGTAAGTAAGTAAGTAAAGGCCCTCCCGTTGATCATCGATTTGCTCGAGCAGGCCCAGTAACGTCTCCATTGGAGACTTTGTTGTTACTGTGTCTGGCATATCGAATACGTCACGGGGAGCTTGCCAGGCTCTGCCGCGCGGGCGAGATACTCTTGGTAGCTTGCAGGGCTCTCCGAGAGGGGCGGAGGAATCGAACTCGGGTCGGCCACGTTGGCTGCGTGCAAGGCAAACGCCCTACCCGCTGTGCTATCGCTTCCAGCCCTTAGGGTGTTATATGATTGATTTTTGTTTGTTTTGCATTCAATTTCAATTTGTTAACATTATAAAGTCAAGAATTTGATAGATTTTATTAAACCCATTATTAAAATTTTTGAAGTTTTACTTTGTTTATTAAAGGATTTGATACTGATGCAGATGAGGCAGAAGCAGCAGCAGTGAGTCTCTGTGTTCGTTCGTGATTCCCAGGATCCTCAATCTTTTCAAAAATGAAAATATTGAATAATCAAGATGCTCAAACTCGGAGTTGAAAAGTAGAAAAATTTATTGAAAAGTAGAAGAGAAAATAAATGGAGCTTCCCTAGTGGGGAAGAACTTCACTGTCACTGTTCTCCCGTTGTTCATCGATTTGCTTGAGCGGGCCCAGTAACATTGTGAGACTTGTTACTGAGTGGGGAAGAACTTAGTATAGAGTTAAGTTAAAAGTGAGGGGTCTTGTATAGGCCCTGTTAAGTGCCCTTTGCATCAATCAGCAAGTATCACAGAGAATTTAGGAAATCTGCAGGGTGGTCTGGCTGGTTTGTCTTTCTGGTCAACTGCCTCAAGTATTGTTCATTGTCTTAGTCTTGTGACTCCTAGTTCTGGGACAGAATAATATGGTCCTGGGAACTCCAGGAATGTTAAAGATAGGGCCTTGGGAATGAGGTGTGGTAGGTCATTGGGGAAAATGGAACTGCTGGCGAGGGGAAACTGTGGGCTCCCCTCTTGTTGGCAAGGGGAAACTGAGGCTTCCTCTTTCAGTTTCACCCTCCAAGTCTGTGCTCACCAATCTGAATGCCCTATAAAATCCTATATTATTGGGGTCTTATGGAGGTTTCCTCATATAGGAATGATCAATTATTAATTTCTACCTCTTCTCTCACTGGAGGATGAGGGGGTGGGGAGATCTGAAAATTCTAAGCTCCAAATCCTATCTTACAACTTTTTCCTTCTCAATCCCTGTCCAGCTTACTTTCTGGTTAACAGCACTCAAACTCACTTTTTTTAGAACAAAAGATACTGAATGTGCAAAGTTTTAGAAACCCTAAGTCAAGAACTGAATCAAAGATAAATATTAGAACTGATGTTTCTAGTGTTCCTTTATCTTAAGAAATAGAAGGGTTTTAGAAGCTCTGTGCTAAGAACTAGATGAAATTTTTAGCAAGGAACAGCACCAAAGAGAACGAACAAAAACACAGCATTCTCAAAGGCAGTAGACTAACTCTAATGAGGACTGTTTCAGATTTTTTTTTTGCTTTTTGGGTCACACCAGGCGATGCACAGGGGTTACTCCTGGCTCTGCACTCAGGAATTACTCCTAGCAGTGCTCAGGGGACCATATGGGATGCTGGGAATCGAACCCGGGTCAGCCACGTGCAAGGCAAATGCCCTACCCTCTGTGCTATCACTCCAGCTCCTGTTTTAGATTCTTAATTGAAATAATTCAGCTTCATCAAACTTCCATCAATAATGCAGGGGACCGAAGTACAGTGGGAAGAGTATTTGTTTGCCTTACACGTGACCAATCTGGGTTCAATCCTCAGCATCCCATATGGTCTCCCAAGCACTGCCAGGAGTAATTTCTGAGTGTAGAACCTGGAGTAACCCTTGAGCATTGCTGGATATGGCCCCAAAACATATTAACCAAAAAAAATGCATGGAGGGAAAAAACACTGGACTGTAGTAGTCATTGGGATTGGGGAAGGCTCATGGGCACTTTGGTAAAAGGGGTGAGCAGTATCTTTGTACATCAGTACTAGAAACTTGAACACTATTGTAACCTTACCACCTAAGTTATAATTTTAAATACATATAAGTATACACTGATGGGATTACATGGCGCTGTGGGGGGCAGTTGGTGGGTGTGACACCTGCCTACTGGAAGATGAAGGATCTGGGTGGAGGATGCTCAGCCCCGATCCAAGCAGGCTTGGAGATCTCAGCCCTGGGACCCACATGCCTTTGTTCCTCTGCCAGTACCTTCATGCATGTGGAGAGTGGTCTCAGCATGGTGGTGGCTGGTTCTGGAGGTCTTCGGCTGCTGGGGCTGTGCTCGGGGAAGGAAGGGAAACTCAACCCGCCCCCCTCCAAGGGGCCCCGGCGAGGACAGCCAGTTGTGGGGGCAGGAGACTCTGCGCTGTTCTCTTCCAGGATCTGGGTTTTATAGTCTCTGGGTCTTGGCCATTGATGGGATTACACGGCGCAAGGGTAGGGTGGGGGAGGCGCTGCGGGGGGGCAGTTGGTGGGTGTGACCCCCTGCCTACTGGAAGATGGAGGATCTGGATGGAGAATGCTCAGCCCCGATCCGAGTAGGTTTGGAGATCTCATCGCAGGCCCTGCATGCCTTTGTTTCTCTGCCAGTACCTTCATGCGTGTGGAGAGTGGTCTCAGCATGGTTGTGTCTGGTTCTGGAAGTCTTTGGCTACGGGGCTCTGCTCAGGGTGGGGAGGGAAACTCAACCCGCCCCCCTCCAAGGGGCCCCAGCGAGGACAGCCAGGTGCGGGGGCAAGAGACTCTGTGCTGTTCTTCCATGTAATCCCATCAACGGCCAATACCCAGAGACTATAAAACCCAGATCCCAGAAGTGCACGGCCGCATTTGCAGCCGCACGATGCTTTGGACAACCTAGCAGGCTACCCAATGTAACCTGCCCACACGGCAGAGTCTGGCAAACTCCCCGTGGCGTACCCAATATGCCAAATACCAGTAACAATGATGGGTCTCATTCTCCTAACCCTGAAAGAGCCTTGAATATGGCACTTTTTAAAATCTCAGGGCTAGGATGAAGGAGACTTTACTGGTGCCTGCTCAAGGCAATCAAACAACAGGATCATCATGATCATGATAAGTATGTCACTGTCACTGTCCTCCCGTTGTTCATCGATTTGCTTGAGCGGGCCCAGTAACGTCTCCACCATGAGACTTGTTGTTACTGTGTTTTGGCGTATCGAATACTTTATGAGGAGCTTGCCAGGCTTTGCCTTGCAGGCGAGATACTCTCGGTAGTTTGCCGGGCTCTCTGAGAGGGGCGGAGGAATCGAACTCGGGTTGGCCATGTCGGCTGCGTGCAAGGCAAACGCCCTACCCGCTGTGCTATCGCTCCAGCCCCAAGTATACATACGTCTATATCATTAACCATACATATGTATTTTTTAAGTCAGGAAACATCAATGTATTCTTTTGATTAATCTCATCTGTTCAATTCCAGAATAGATTAATAGAACTTACTTGGTAGTGAGGTAAGATATTTAATTTCAACTCATCACTCCCTATACCCAGAGTGAAACTGGGTTTTCATAATTCGCTCATTGAACAGTTTTCAGTGTGACATGCATGCCTATCTCTCCTGGTCTCTATGTTTTCTTACTTTCAAAGTATCAATTCTTTGACTGATAGGAGATAATTAGGAATTCCTACAATAAGTGCTAGGGAGCACTTATATTTTAAAAAAAAAAATAGGCTAAACAACATCCACTTGGCATTCTATTTATTGTAAAACCTTATCATATATTTCATAAGGCTTGTCAGATAAAAATGTTTTGTCCAAGTTCAGGGGCTGCTATTTTCCCTTGCTTCATGAAAGCATCTATTGGCAGGCCTTTGATCTTCCTAAGCCATGCCGTTCTGCTGGCTTTTTCTGGACTGATTTTTCCAGTGGTCTTTGTTGCCTGATATTCCTTCAGTTTGGCTTCCCTGTACTCATTCTCCTCCTTCACAGTAAGCAACATGAACTCGGTGTTCATTCTAAATGGATCAAGGGGTGGGTAGAAGTGAGGCTTTTCTTTCTTGAGAGACAGGGTCACTGTGCTACCTGGTGGAACCAGCATCCGACTTGGTTTAATGACCTGCATACTAGTTAAGGGCCTATAGCTGCCTCCTGTCCTATCAGTTGAGCTTATTGTCTGATCTTTACCCTTTAAGTCACCAGCGAATGTAGAGTGAATAATCATGGGCTGGGGTATGCTGGACTGGATTTGGGGACTGTGCAAAGATTTCTTCAAATTTGGCTTCAGTTTCTGGATTTCAAGAGGCATATTTGTTTGTTTCACATGTGTGGGAAGGTAACTACTTCTTAATCGATCAACTTCAGGTTGTACTGATTTTCCTTTGAAGCTCAGAACCTTTCTTGAGTATGAAATTGAAGGTCCCGAGGCACCAGTGGGTTGGCTGTGGGAATGATGGGGATAGGCAGATGTCCCTGCATTACGGGCTTTCTGCAGGGCATTAATGGTCAGGAGGAAGCGGTCAGGAGTCATAGGGATTTTCCAGGACTTTTTCGTTGGTATTTCTAGTTGTTCTTGGTTTTGTTCTTTCTCCCCATCATCTGGTTTTATGAAAAGAAAAGAAAGAAAATAAGAACAAATCATTGTTACGTGAAAATGTTAATTTCTTTGTGAAAGTTGAATTCGTTCTGATATAAAACCTTAGGTCTTTGTTGTCCAATAGGCATATCAGTATGTAGAAAGGCAGAAACTTTCTACAGCAGGAGAAAGTATGGCATATTCAATACAATTTTTAATGAATGTGCTCATGTTTGTGTGAAAATGTATACTAACCTCTAGATATGTTTTGAGGAAACATATAATCCCAGTGTTTCATACATTTTTAAAATATGGGAAAGACACACATTTATGATTCAGATAAACTAGACCTCGGTAATTTATAATAATATACTTTTATTCTTAATAAAAATTGTATCACCCAGTTTAAGCTTCATTTCATTATTTGACTCAGAGTGAACTTTCCCCAAAATCAAGCCTGTCTTTGAAAAATGGAATATCACAACACAACTAAATTCCTACATAGGAATCCCCAAAATGTTTTGAAAAGATGCAGCAAATCCACTAACAAGGACAAGGGATTCATTCTGGTATACTACATGTAGTAAAATCCTTCAATGTGCATATGACACTTGAGTTAAAAACAGTATCTTCCTTGTATAACTGAAACCCAAGCACAAAAGTTTATAAGTCTATAACTGTACCTCATGGTGTTTCACTAATAAAAAAAAATTTTTAAAAATAAAAACAGTATCTTCACAGGTGAGCAAGTCTGTATCTCACTCATTTGGGCTTTTTTCAATCCTTATAATATTCCACAGATAAACTGAAAGTATTTTCCCAATTTTTCGTTCTTATCACTTGATCACTTGACATCCCATTACTCATCGATTTGCTCGAGCTAGTGCCAGTAACATCTCCATTCGTCCCTGTCACGTGCTAATGTAGCCCAATGGCGTCTGCTCGTTTTAGGAACATGAAGAGCCTCAAACCGATCGTTCAGAGTCTTGATGAAGAAGTCTGACCATCTCATAGTGGGCAGCCATGTGATCTTTTGACATCCCGTGGAATCCAGTCGGTAATGGCTCTAGTCCAGCAGTCATCTCCAAATCTCATTACGTGTCCAGCCCATCTGATTTTCGACGCCTTGGCAAAAGAGACAGCATCCGTGATTCTTGACTGTCAACGGAGGTCAGAACTCCGGATTCTTTCTCTCATTTGAGTGAAATGTGATACTCCAAGCATAGCTTTTTCCATTCCTCTTTGAGAGCTCAGTTCAGTTCTTATAATAACTCACATTAACTGAAAGCACATTCTATTTTACAAAAAAAAAGGTTAACTGAGTCTTGAAAAGCTAAAATCAATTATCTAGTCTGACATAGAAATTAAAAGTCTAAATCCCAAGCTATACCAGCATATAACTAAAAGAGAACATACAGCAACAAGTTAAGAAAATGAAACATTAAAAAAAAAAAGAAAATGAAACATTTGTATTATGTACATAATTTTTCTTAGCCAGATTGGTTTTACCCTAAAATATTTGGGCATGTAAGACTGAAATGAAACTTTAAATGTCTCCCTGACTGCTACTTTGTACATTGTATTTTATTCGAACAAAACTAAATAAATTGAGATGTCTAAGCCTCTCCCACATTATTCCAGACTCAGAATAAATTCATCTTCATAAATCTATGTATGCATTTGTTTATGTGTAAAAAACATATTTATGTAGTATCATGATTTATTCATTTTTCATATATTTTGGATCTCTTCCTAAGTCAATACATAAGATGCAGCCTCATGATGCAATTCTTAGTCATAATTATATTCCAGAATGTGAATTTCTCATTGGCTTCTTAGTCATTGCCTAATGATGGAAATTTATTTTGCTGATAGTCTTAAAGAAATGCAAAACCATTTTAAGTTTATATAAGCAAGAAAATGATAGTTAACTTATAATCAGAGTTGGCATAGTTTAAATGACAACAATGATAATATCTTTCTAGATTAAAATTCAATTTTCCAGGGAGCTCAGATAGAGAAGGGAACACCAAATAAAGGTGTTGGGAGGATCCTCCCAGGATGGGAGAAGCATGCTGAAAGTAGACTATAGACCAAACATGATTGTCACCCATTGCCTCTTTTGCAAACCACAACACCCAATAAGAGAGAGAGAACAAAAGGGAATGCCCTGCCACAGAGGCAGGGTGGGATGTGGGGGATGAGGGTAGGAGGGATACTGGGATCCGTGGTGGTGGGAAATAGGCACTGGAGGAGGGATGGGTATTTGATCATTGTATAATTGAAACCCAAACACAAAAATTTGTAAGTCTGCAACTGTACCTCATGATGTCTCACTAATTAAAAAAATTTTTTTAAAAATTCAATTTTCCTTTGACTTAACCATGCACTCTTGGAGATGTACTTATTCATACAGATAAAGGTACATATAAGGATACCCATTGTTAGTATATTCCTCCTAACATTTTATTGCTGAAGCTAGATTTGAGTTGAAGCTCATCTTCTGCAGGGAATTCAGTCGAAGAAAACACTGTTATTGAAAGGAATTTTGAATGTTAATCTAAGTCTCTCAACTACAATGAGAGAGCATGCCAATTCGAATGTGCAGCAACTCTTCTTAAAATCCCCTTCCCAAGTTTTCTATCTTATCTCTCCGTTCATATAAATAACTTCTACCACAAATCTATCCTCTCACCCATGAAATCCCCTAAAATACTTTCTAAAACTAACCTAGGTTGTGCCTTCTTCTATCGACTTTGTGTCTTACTTGGATTCATGATAGAACAACCCAAGAAGGAGGAAGCTAAATGTCAGGCCTTGATACCAAAACTGAAAAGTCAGAGGAATGCAGAGATGGTACAGAGATTAAGCACTTTGGTGGCTGCCTATGGCTTGATCACTGGTACCACCTGTCTTCCCCTGAACAGAGCCAGGAGTAAGCTCTGAGCACCACAGTTATAGCCCATCCACCTGGCTGCCCAAAAATTGCCTGAAAACTCATCCTTGTGAAGAGTTAGTAAAGGAGTAAAAATCCAGTTATCTTACAAGAAGATAAATGTCATTCTGAATTATCAAAGGTAAACATAGAAAGAGAAAAAGGAGGTAGGGAGAGAGAGGACCTTGTAATTGAGTAAAAAAAAAAATATGTATTACCATTCATCTTACTGACTTCAGTGAATTTTCTTTCTGACTTCTCTTGCCAAGCATTCATTGTTTTCTTAGCAACACTACTTTTTATCTTCTTGCCTTCTGCTTGGGATATTTGGGTCTTCCTTTTAGTTTTACTTGCCTCTGTTAATGGTGTTAAAATTGAGAAAAAAATTTAATAGTAATTATATAATTCATTAAGTCTGAATAATGGAGGCATAGAATGTAATTAATTTTTAACCATTGTCCCCTTATTGTTTTATTGTTTGTTTATATGGAACAAGGTAGTCACTTACATCCCAAGGTTCTAAGTCATCCTCTGACTTCCCTCCTATTCACTGTTCAACTCATTCTCAAATTTGTAGCCTTATCACAAATTCTCAAGTCTTCTCACAAAAAAATATCCATTTGAGTTGTAACATGGGATGATCTATCAAAGTTCTCTATTTTCACCTATCCTATACAGGAACGATGAAAGGAAGGAGTCTGGCTATTCTACCCACCAGATGATGTTCTTTCTACTTGTCATATAAGTAGCTTGAGTCATGCCACACATAACCGCCTTCTGTACAGGCACTTAAATTCACATGTATCTACTCAATAAATTCCAATTACTATCACTTAGGGATCTGATATAATATGCATAAAACATTCTTCCACAATGTATTCTCCCTCCTACAAAAAGAGCCATGCACGTTAAGTCTTTGGGTTTGGGGTGGAAGAGGCTAGTACTATCTCCTTTACAAAGATTCTAACATATTTAAAACCCTGGGCCATGTAGTTCAGGAGATACCCATAAACTGGATAATAAACTGAGTTGTTGGACAGAATCGTTCTTAAAGTTAAGACTCAGATAAAGAAATCATTGAGCAAAATAGCCTGCAAAGAAAATAGGCCTGGCACTTTCTTCCCTGCTCTACTGCTACTTTTAAGAATATCTGATTCAGCTCCTTTACCTGCCTGTATCCCGGAAGTAATCTGGACAATTCGGGTCTTGTGAGGTTTACTCGAGAATAACTCTGGTGCCAAAATATATTTACTAGACATGGAGTCTTTCATGCTGTTGCCCTGAGTGCTGGATTTGGAGGGAATCTCTGAGAGGCCATTTTCTTCCTTGTCCTCCTCTCTATCCTTCTTCTGTTTGACCCGGTCTGTAGAGTACTGCCACTTTATATTCTCAAACTGGAATAAGAGAACATTGCTCTCTGTGTTGATCACCATCCTGGAACCAAAACAAGAAGATTGCCCACCACAAGAGAAATTGGAGGCCTTTGCTATACATTTCAACATGGGGCCAAGGAAACAGTGCCCAGTAAATGACTGCACAGACAGTTTGTTGGAAAGTAAAGTAGCTCAGGTTATTAGCTCTATTTTATTTTATTTATTACAAGTAAATGTGAGTAGAGTACATAGTACTTTTCTTCTTGCATTGAAATATTTTTAAATTTGTATTGGTTGATGAAGTAAGTGCCTTGTGCATTTAAGGCAGAAGGCCTAGGTACTCAGCACACAGATGGTATTAAATTCATTCATTTTAAATCATAGTACCCAAACACTATGTTTTGATTACCATGATGAGAATAAAGAAATATGGTTCAAGATGTCTCATGTGAGCTGTGGTCAAATTTAAAGGTTAATTCTATTTGTATATTTTTTCACACTATCACAGTGTATCTAGCATATAATTTACACTATACACTAGTATTCTATAAGCAGTTTATGTGTGGTTCTCGTTTCTGTAAACTCACCTGCTTAATTCTGCCTCTGTGGACAGTGGGCCCACTAGTTGTGCAATCATTCATTCTCCTGTAAGTTCCTGTACTTAGGAGAGAGCTGGTAGTGCTGAATGCATGGTCAGAAAGCAAGAAATGGCTGCGTATTTACAAAGTTTAGGTCTTTACTGTGACTTTACTGCATTCATTGTGTGCTTTGAAATAACATTCAGAACAAAATGAGAGTAATTTTGTACAAAGTTCAATTAGTCCCCCCCCCCCCATGTTCTCATACGACAGTCAAATTTGGCAAGGAACACTGCCACTCTGTCCCACTGCCCAAAAATTTAGGATTAATAATCCAGAGGAGACAGAAGTCACCCAGATAGTCATTTCTGTGACCTCCACACCTACCACCCACCTGTTTCCCTGAATAAAGAAGGACAGCACAGGATCACCTCTGCCATTAACTTTTATCACCTTCAGACAGTTCCCATTTAGGAAATTGTAAATACGAATCTTGCCATCTGCACAGGCACTGATGACTCGAAGAAAGAGAAGAACCACATGGAGGACCTCCCTGGAAGGGAACAAAGCAATGAACAGTACTCATTTTCTAATCAACTGCTTGAGTTTTCTTGTAACTTACTCAGTTTATGTTATTTTTATATAAAATATAAAGGAGGGCATGACCTTAAAGTGATCTTTACTATTTTTAAAGGATATAAACTATTAACCCTTATGACATAGTTATAAACTTTCCCCCAATTCTGCAGTTATTTATCCTGAAATTTCGTCACAAAGGAGCAACATTCAGGGCCTTTTGATTGTTTGGTTGTTGGAGGTTTGGTGCAAGTGGAGAGGGCAGGATGGGAGGGTTGGGAACTCTCTTTATATATCATCATAGATTATTGGTTTTGGTATTTTTTGTTTGCTTTGGGGGGGTTGTTTTGGAGTCACACCTGGTAATCGTGCTCAAGGGCTACTCCTGACTCTGTACTCGGTCACTACTTCTGGAAGTGCTCAGTGTACCATATAGGATGCCAGGTATGGAACCAGGTCAGGCATGTGGAAAGCAAATATTCTGCCTATTACACTACCTCTCCAGCCTCCATCATCATTTTTTTTCTTGCAATTTGATTCCTAGAAATGAACTTCCCCAAGTCATGATGAGAATTATTTGATGTTTTCATTTCTTTACTAGTAGAGTTACTTATAGTAAAGAAAGAAAAATACAAGAGGGAAAAATGTTCATCTTTGTATCAAGCAAAGCATTGGTACTTGAGCAGTTTTTTTTTTTTTGGTGTCATAAGTTAAGTGGTTTTCATTCTTTCATTGAAACATCCCCAAAAATACTAGAGTACTCAGAGATGAGATTTATGAGTTCCCTCATGATAGTCAGCAGGAAAAGAAAGGCAATGAGAAGACTTAAAAAATGTTACCAATAAAATCTTCCCTACAACAGGCGGAGCCAAATTGAACTCTAAATATGTAGAGTATTCAATTCTGAGAAGTATAATTACCCCAATTACATTAATTGGATCAATCAGTTTTAATTTAAAACAGATTTAAGTTTTATACTATTTGTTAGATCTTATATGCAAAGAAAATGCCTACCATCTTTACTTTCAGTCCATCCATGGCTTAGATCATGTGCCACCTTCTCCGTATAACTATTCGTTATTTCCATTTTTTCTTCTGACTTATACACATATAGATAAAATTTAAGTAGACTGTAAGACCCTTTGGGGGCAACCTATGCCTTATTGTCTTTGCATGTTCAGCACCTAATACAGTGCCTAGCCAATAACAGATTTTCAATAAATATTTCTTGGAGACATGACCATCCTTTTTCAAAGCCCTATCCATTAGCCAAAAAGAAATATCAAAATTAAATATACAAAAATACTAAAAAAGACATATTAGAGTCCTTAAAATATAGGCGCATGCTCAGCACATTGAAAGGAAAAGAGGCTACAGTGATAGTTTAGGAGATAGTAATATAAAAAATCCAAATAAAGTTCTATTTTTTTCCTAAGATAGAAATCCAATTATTTTACCAGTGCCCTAAAAATATCTTTGTCCACCTATAAGGGAATTCAGCACTAGGAGAAATACCAAGTAATAGAAGAATTTGCCTCTGTGTATCTCTTTTGATCTTGTGGAATCTAGGTCAACACATCTCATAGATTTCTGAGGTATTTAGTATTTAGGCTTTAGTATTATATCCTATCAGGAACAAAGATTTTGATACAAGATGACATGGAACTTGGTTGTACAACTGGACCAACATTTTACAATAAACTTTGGAACTTCTAGAAAATAACAATCTCCAATTCTTGTTTTCTCTTTTGTGAAAAAAATATTGATTTCTGCCTCAGAGAATTACTCTCAAAATTAAATGAATTACTAAGCCCAGTACCTAATACAATAGTGGTTATTATGTTCCTGACACATCACAATCTTCTTTCAGGTTTTATTTCTGACCAAGAAATAATATATCGTATTCTTTTCTCATTCTTCATCAAAATACACTTCTGATTGGTGTTCAAAAAAATGGATGGAGTAAAGAATTCAAAATTCAACCTTAACATCAAAAAGGAGCAACAAAACTGGCAAAGTAATTGTCAAAATCAAATTTTTAAAACTCTAAAAATAAAATGTCTTATAGTAATTTAGAGTTCTGTTAGACAAAAAAAATTATTTAGTGCAGTAAGAACAGTGAAACTTTGTGCCATGTATTTCACTCTGTTCATTCTAGCCCGGTAGTAACCTTGAAAATAACAGCCCAAGGAAGCTGGAGTGATAGGGCATTTCCCTCCAATACAGCCAACTCACTGGGTGTGGCCCTAAAACATAAGCAAAAGAATTGCCCACATTCCTGTCACTAGAGAAAACAAACCAGACTTCATTCACAGTAAATTATTTTACCAGTCTTGTAGCTTCTTAAAAGACTAACTCCAAAAAAAAAATTTTAAAAAGCCACCTGTCTTTATTTCACCTATTAAGGAACTCACACAATGCTAAAGATTTTACCGGGGAGACATTTATTAAAAAGGATAGACAATTGCTTTACAAAATCTTATACCTGAGATATCTACTAGGCAAATAATAACTAAATAAAAAGCTTTAGGGGAAATACTAGGCTTTTGAAAAGCTCGGGCATTTTTCTGTAAATTTAACTAGCCACATACATGCACAGGGTGGGTAGTCTTGAGAAATAGCAAGACTCTTTTCTCACCCTTACTGGCCTTGATATTCTTTACTATTAGCAGGAAGTGAAAACTAAGGCCTGCTTGTAAACTCGGTGACAGAGTGTTGAAGTCTTCCTCAACATGCACAGAGAGCCCCTTACAAAGAAAGGGAGATGTTTTATTTCTAAGCATTCAAGTAAATCTCTTTACAGACACAGTGACCAAAGAATCACTGTCACTGTCACTGTCCTCCTGTTGTTCATCGATTTGCTCGAGCAGGCCCAGTAACGTCTCCATTGTGACAAAGACCAAGAATACAAGACTCTAAACAAATAAACAACAAAACAAACTGAAAATGAGAGAAACTTTGATTTCTAGAGTTGTCATATTAACATTATTTAAAACATCCAGTTTATAAATACATTAAAAAATATATTAGGAGTGGAGCAATAGTACAGCAGGTAGGCATTTGCCTTGCACGCAGCTGACCCTGATTTGATCTCCAGCACTCCACTTGGTCCGCTGAGCACAATCTGGTGTGGCAAAAAAATAAAAATAAAAAGAGAATATAGGTTATAAAGGACAGAGAGAAAAGGTGACAATTAAAATCATTCCCAAGCACAGCGGGTAGGGCATTTGCCTTGCACACAGCTAACCCAGTTTCGATTTCCAGCATGCTGAGCACCGCCAGGGGTAATTCCTGAGTGCAGAGCCAGGAGGAACCCCTGTGCATCACCAGGTGTGACCCAAAAAGCAAAAAATAAATAAATAAAAATAAATAAAATCATTCTCAAGCAAACTTAGTGATTGGACTTCCCTGAGAAAGCTTTTAGTTCAAATATATCTATTTAAAACTATTTTAAACATATTTCATATATTTATTTCATCATCCTGTTATTCGTCGATTGCCTCGAGCAGGCCCCAGTAACGTCTCTTTCATCCTAGCCCTGAGATTATATTCAAGGCTCTTTAGGAGAATGAGACCCATCATTATTACTGGTATTTGGCATATTTGGTACGCCACAGGGAGTTTGCCAGACTCTGCCCATTTACATGGCATTACATTTTAAACATGATCAAAAAAAATAGGAAACCATAACTACAAAACAAAAAGAAAAGGGAAGTCTTAGAAAATGGTCTCAATAAATTATAAACTGATCCAAATTAAAATTCTGGAGTTGAAAACAGCTATTAAATAAATTCAAAATTCACTAACAAGACTCAACAGGAAATTTAAAGTAGGCAGAAAACACAAAGCTCTTAAATAGTCCATTGATATTACCAAGTGAGAAACACAAAGAAAAAGTCATGGGGAAAAAAAAAAACAGAGCCTTGGAAACTTGTGTGACATTATCAGACATCTCAACATATGCGTAATTGGAGTTTTATAATGAAAAGGACACAAAAATTATTGGAAGGCACTGTCGCCAGAAACTGTCCAAATATTATAAAAAACATTCTGTGGGGCTGGAGGGATAGCACAGCGGGTAGGGCGTTTGCCTTGCACGCGGCCAACCCAGGTTCAATTCCCAGCATCCCATATGGTCTCCTGAGCACCGCCAGGAGTAACTCCTGAGTGCAGAGCCAGGAGTAACCCCTGTGCATCGCTGGGTGTGACCCAAAAAGCGGTCACGGTCACGGTCACGGTCCTCCCGTTGTTCATCGATTTGCTCGAGCAGGCCCAGTAACGTCTCCATTGGAGACTTTGTTGTTACTGTGTCTGGCATATCGAATATGTCACGGGGAGCTTGCCAGGCTCTGCCGTGTGGGCGAGATACTCTCAGTAGCTTGCTGGGCTCTTTGAGAGGGGCGGAGGAATCGAACTCGGGTCGGCCATGTTGGCTGCGTGCAAGACAAAAAAAAAAAAAGCAAAAAAAAAATTCTGCATTTCCAAGATACTAAAAAAACTCTAGGATAATCTCAAGGATATCCACACCTAGTCATATAATCAGATTGTAATAAACCAAAGACAGAATATTGAATGCTGTGTAAGAGAAGCATTTTATGATAAAAGTATCGTTAATAAGATCAATAACTATAGGAAGGCCTTGGATTTTTGGGTATCGATTTTATAGCCTGCAACTATACTGTACAAGTCTATTGTTTCTAGGAGTTTCTTGGTAGAGGCTTTAGAATTCTCTAGATATAGTATATCATCTGCGAATAGTAAGAGATTGCATTGATCTGTGGAATATAAAGTAACAGAATGTGAGATTAGTACCCAAGAATAGTAGAGATAAGTACCGGGAGGTTTGCTTCACAGCTTGGAAGCTGGAGGAAAAGGCAGCCCAGATAGAGAAGGGAACACCAAGTAAAGTGTGATTGGAGGACCCACTTCGGATGGCATATGCGTGCTGAAAGTAGACTATTAGATCAAACACGATGG